CTGCTCAGGCCTTTGAAAAAATTCAAGGGGACTTCACTAGCCAAGGGCTGCGAAGATTGTGCAAGGAAGTATCTGATTATTTCTAAATGTTATCTTGAGAAGAGAATAAAGAGGATTTGTTGAGAAGCGTTCCTGCTGGTGTCTGCCTCTTAGAGTTCTGAATCTTCTATTCCTCGCTCTAGAGAAAGAAGCCATTGATTCACAGAGGTCCTGCCAAGGAGAAAATCGTCCCATGATCTTGGCCAGAAATTCCCCTGGGACACATGAAATCAACCTATAAGCTCTGTTTTGTAACTGGCTTTGAGTTGGAATCACTGCGGGCATACGTCCATGTAAATGAGTATAGAAATGCCACCATGGCTGCTGGCATGCCACAGCAGAGATGGAGCGTAATTTAGCCAGTTGTCTGCAGATGGGTGTTTTACTAAAATTGCTGCAGCTGCAAGTTTGATTAAATCTTTGTGAAACTGTCTGCGGGGAAGGTTACCAGAAGCAGAGTCCCTGGGTGGCCAGCTCTGGAGCCCGTGCACTTGCCATGAGCTCTGCCTCAAAGACAGTGAAGACAACTGTACAGAAGGGAGCATTTTCAAGAACTCCCAGATTGAAACATGTTCCCTATGCTGTGAACAGGACTTGTCCCAGACCCAAAGCCTGCAGCTGCTGGGATGGAAATTGAGGCCAGCTAGCCTGACCATTGGCCAAATCATCCGGGAGCCACTCCCCGCTCCCTCTGGCAGGACCCAGGCCATGCCTGGGACCTAGTGATGCTGTGTTTGATGGCCCCAGCTGGCCGGGGCAGGTGATTTACCTGCCAGGGCCCCAAGAAGGAGGTCAGTTCTGCAGCCTTTATCATGCACACCACCTTCTTCCCCACCCCCACCCACCCAGGCCTTCAGGGAGTCTGAGGAAGTTGCTGACCTGTCCCCTGGGGGAATAATTGTATTAATGATAAGGTGGCCTCTGGTGGCTTCCGTCAGCAGATTCAAGGCTTTGAGCTGAGTAATCCTTTGGCGTCTGCCCCAGCAGCTGGCGGTCACAGATTGAGGGCCACTGCACCCCCCTCAGCCTCCAGGCTCTGCTTTCCCCTGCACAGGGCTCAGCTGGGGCCAGGCCTCACTTGCCAGAGAACCCAGAACGGAGGGCCAGGCTTACAGAGGAGCTCAGCTGGCATTGAAATGATTTGAGGGGTTGACAAATTAAAATTAAAAAAAAAAATAGTGTAAGAATAGGCAGTCAAATACTGCAGGTTCTTTCGTAGGGTTTTGCTGTTGTCGTTTGTCATTCTGAGTAATACCCACTATAGAATATCAGGAAAATACAAATTTAAAGACAGACTTCCCATCCAGTAAGGGCCTTGTGATCCACATACTCGGCTAAACTAAAATAATAAACCCATCCCTGGAATCTCCCATCTGGACAGAGAACATTGGCCTGGAATGATTTCAACATGAGGCCTCACCTGGGTCAGAATCTCTCTAGGAGAGAACAGGTGAGCTAAGGTGAGGGCTGAACAGGTCTTAAAGGATGGGCAGGTGAAGCAAGAGTGGGAAAGACCCTTTCTCTGCCCAGCCCCGTGCCCTGACTTCAACACCTTCCCCACTGTCCATCTGTGGGGTCTCCTGTGCCATGGATCAGTCCTCATATAGCCTTCTCCCAGCCTTCTCCCCGATGAGGGCCTCAGGGAAAATCCTACACCTGCCAGGACCACACACCCCCAAGGTCAAGGTCCCTAACCTCAGCTGTCCGCAAAGCTCCCCAAAACCCTGCTGGGCCCCTTCCCTACTAGGGCTGCCTCACAACTTGCCCTCCCTCCTCAGCCCCTGCTCAGTGTCCCCACCCCCAAAAAGAGGCCTGCTGTGCCTCAGAAAAGGGAAAAACTCCATCCTCTGCTCTTGGACCAGCCCCACCCCTTCCTCCCCTCCATCTCACCATGTTACAAAGCACTTCCTCTAATCCCACCAAAACTAGAATTGAAAGGAGGTGTGCTGGCCCCACACCTGTCCCGAAGGCCCTGGGTCCCCTGATTCCTTCATAGGAACCCCTGCCAGGCATGCTCTGTGTCCCCCATGAGACTGCAGGGTGGATCAGCGTTTGGTCCACACCCACTTGGGGCTTCACTCTGTCTCTCCCTCGCCTTCTCCTTTGTATCTCCTATTTAAAAATGAATTTCTCTTTTAAAATATTTCTGTCTCCTTCCCTCATGGCCTGTGTGCTGTTCTGTTTCTCCCTCTCCTCCCTGACCCCTGCTCATCTACTCTGGCGACAAACACCAAAGGAAGCTGCTCAGGCTGCTTCTTGGAGAAGATTCTGTGGGGAACAGGAGTTTGGGGATCAGATGCAAATTTGCAATCCCCATCTCTGTCTCCAACCTCTACCACCGCTCAATAACGGTGTGACTTGAAGCAAATTATTTAGCCTCCTCTGTTGTTTCCTCAGCTGTGAGTTGAGGCTAATAAGGGCAGCTCCCACCTAAGGTTGCTTAATGTTTGAATAACACATTGCAAGTGTTTGTGTAAGAACTCTTCACATGCACTTCCTGCATCTTACTATTGGCAGGGACCTCATGGAGCACTTGGATGGTAAAGCTCCGATCTTGACTTTTCTCCTTCATCTCCCAAATGCGCAAGAGTCCTGAGCTCCTCTCTGCCTATTCCTTGACTCAGTTACAGACCCTCAGCTCATCCCTAGATATTCTTTCCTTGCACTGGTGATCCCTCAATCCTGGGACCCCACTTCCCATCTTTGTGCAGATCTGTTGGGGATGGGTTGGCTGTGGGGCCAGTGAAGTTGGACTTCACAGTGGAACCCAGGTGGATCTATAGATGGGGAGCTCAGGGCAGAGAAGCACGTGGGAGTCTGGGATTGAGTGGTCCTGGAAGCAGTGGATGTACACAAGATTGCCCGTGGAGAGGGGGATAGACTTGCGGGGCCACCTCTGGGCATGTGGAGGTGATGACAAGTTTAGGTGATGACCCATTCTCCGGAAGGATCAAGTGATAGCCTTCAGGAAGCAGGAAGTGCTCAACCAAGTTCAAAGACACTGCTTTGGCTCTGACTGCCAGGTGGAACTGGAGACCTTGTCCATGGAGGGTCCTGAAGAACCTCCTGCAGGAGGAGGGCAGGAAGGGTAAGGACAGAAGAGAGGAGGGCCAGTGAATGACCTCCACCCTGTGGCCTCGATCTCCTGAGGCTCCAGAAAGCAGATTATCCTGCAAAGCCTCCACACTGACTTTCAAAATCCCCAATAGTGCTTCTGTGTCACATGGAGGGTTAACCCCGCTTACATGAGGGCCATGCCCTATGGCGCCTGTCCCCTTAACTCCATCATTCTTCTAGAAGCTGCATGTTCCCTGGGCTCTAAGGCTAGGCTAGCCCCCTCCCCATGTCTATCCCCTGTGCAGACACCTAGGCCAACATGAGGATTTCCTATCTGTCTTGGGCATGGGGTGGGGCTTGAGGAGGAGGTGGAGATGGAGGTGGAGGAGCAGGAAAGAAAATATATTTCCTGAGTTTTGCTCTGATTTTCTCAGTGACCCTGAGAAACGTGAGTAATAGCAAGACCCCACCATTTATAATGCTTTTAGTAAGCACTCTGTGAGAACCACTGGTACTGTGTCCACCTACACTACACGCTGCAATCCCTTTCACAGATGAGGAGACTGATGTTCAGGCAGGCTGACACTTGCTCAGGAACATGTGGCTTGTAATGGAGCAAAAATGTGAGCCTGGGTCAGTCCTTACACTCTCCCCTCACACCCCTCTGCCTGCTGGGGCCCAGCGTCTGGTCTGTCCCTGCTCCACCCCTCAGAACTGCTGTTGGTCTTGAGCTGGGAAGGTGGGCCTGGAGGGCAGCAGAGACCAGCCTGCCTAGGGACTGGAGGCCAGGTCAGGGGAGGAAGGGGAAAGCTACCTGAGATCCTGGAGCCAGATGCAGGCAGCTCTGTCCTCACTCCCTCCTATCTTGCAGGCCCAGTGCTCCAGGTAGGTGATAAAAATGCCTATCGGCTTCTCTTCTGCCACCTCTCAGGCCTCCTGCCTCCAGCTAGCCTCAAACCCTACATTGGACCTGATTCTTCGGGCATCTGAGGATTGCTGACCTTTTGGGTGGGGGTGGGGGCAAAATCCTCAAATCATGGTCCCCAAGCAGGTCTTTTTTCAAGAAGCTGAGGTGAGAATCATCAGGGCAGAGGGTTCAACTGTTCAGGACAAAAAAAATGAACACCTACACACAGCGACCCACACAAACACAGGGCCACACACATGTGCATACATGTGCACATGCACACAAGCACACACACACACACACACTTGCCTTCAGACACATGCTAAGCACCTCAAAAAGATTAAAGTCATGGTGGTGCACACCTGTAATCCCAGCTACTCAGAAGACTGAGGCAGTTTGAGACCAGCCTGGGCAACTTAGTGAGAGACCTGTGTCAAAATAAAATGGGTTGGGATATAGAGCATTTGCCTGGCATGTGCAATGCCCTGGTTCAGTCCTCAACACACACACAGGAAAAAAAAAAATTTAGAGGAACTGCACCTCTCTCCAGGATTTGAATAAATATTGAATAATAATATTTGAACAAATAGCTGACAGCACAGCATAGTTGGGACCTGGGGACATTGGATAACCCCAGAGCTAGCATAGGGACAGCAGGACTTACTGGCTCCCAGGGGCACCTTGGTAACACTGCAGGTGTGGCCAGTTGATCCCCTGTGGAGACAGTAAAGATTAAGAGGATCATAAACTGTGCCCAGCAGCTCCCTGAGAGAAATCTCCTCCAGCCAGAGCTGCTGCTGTGAGGGGCCTGGGGAAGTTTGGAAGGCTCCCGAGTCCAGACAGAGAAGAGACCCAAAGTCAGAGACTGCTAGAGCCTGGGAGAAGGAGAAGCAGAAATAGAAGGGGGAAAAGAATAGAGGGGCAGGTGGAGAGTGAGGCAGAGGCTGGGCCCACCCAGCCACTCAGCCAGCATCCTCGGCAGCTCTGGGGCCTCCAGGGCCAGGCTAGCAGTCCGATGAGCTCCAGCGTGGCCACAGCTGTGCCTGCCACTGTGACTGCCTCCAGGAAGGAGTCTCCAGGCAGGTGGGGCCTGGGGGAGGATCCAACAGGTATGGCTTTTCTTGGAGATGAGATCTGGGCCCTTAGGGAACAGAATATGTGCCAGACCAACTTAGGTCCAGCCCCAAGGACTGTGGGCAAATGTGAGGGGAATGTGCTGGTGAACCCAGAATCCTAGACACATGGAGGTGGGCAGAGAGGGCAGGATACTGAGCTGATGGGAGGGAAAAACCAAGAAGCACCCTTAGGACTTGGAGGCAAAGGGATCCCTAGAGGTGAGGTCAAGAATTATTTTATGGGAATCTAAAGTCACCCACAGGGAAGGAATGGGAGCTGGGTGGGTGGAGGCAGGGTGTGTACCCTTGCTGAAAACTGGACACGGAAGGAGGAGGGCAGGGAAGCATAAGAGGGAAACATTTTTCCAGCTGGGAGCAACAAGGGCACATCTAAATGTGGGAGATCAGGAACCTGTGGACAGGGAGAGGGATGTGGGGGTGGAGGGTGGGTGGAGAGGTTGAGGGGCCCAGCTACTGCCTCTGTCTTTCAGGCGTGGGCCCCTCACTCCAGTGCCGTGTATGTGGGGACAGCAGCAGCGGGAAGCACTATGGCATCTATGCCTGCAATGGCTGCAGCGGCTTTTTCAAGAGAAGCGTGAGGCGGAGGCTCATCTACAGGTGAGGAGGGTAAGCCCTGCTGGGTTCCTGCCCACTAGGGTGCCTAGGACAGGTAGAGGTTGTCAGGGAAGAAGGAGCTAGGGCAAAATGTCCAAATCCATGGTCCAGAGCCTGGGACACTGACCCCCTGGGGCTCCCTGTCCCCTGCAGGTGTCAAGTTGGGGCAGGAATGTGCCCTGTGGACAAGGCCCATCGCAACCAATGCCAGGCCTGCCGATTGAAGAAGTGCTTGCAAGCGGGCATGAACCAGGATGGTGAGTGGGGAGCACAGGGAGCCGGGAAGGGCAGAAGAGACAGGCAGCGTGACCACTGCAGGGTCCTAAAACTTCCTCCCTCCCCAGCCGTGCAGAACGAGCGCCAGCCCCGAAGCACGGCCCAGATTCGGCTGGACAGTGTGGAGTCAGATGGTGAGCCCCGCCTCCAGGCCCTGGTGGTGTCTCCAGCCCAGGCAGGGCCCAGCCCACAGGGCTCCACACCTGCATCCACAGCCAGAGGCCTGGGCCACCACTTCATGGCCAGCCTCATAACGGCCGAATCCTGTGCCAAACTGGAGCCAGAGGATGGTAAGTGGAAGGGCGACTGAGGGACGGACCAGGGGCCTCTGTTCATTCTAGAGCCTCACAACCAGGTCGTGAGTCTTCCCTCCCATCTCCATGGTGCAGAGACTAAGGTCACAACTTCTTTCTCCAACAGCTGATGAGAATATTGATGTCACCAGCAACGATCCTGAGTTCCCCTCATCCCTCTGTAGCCTGGACAATATCCATGAGACATCAGCTCGCCTGCTCTTCATGGCTGTCAAGTGGGCCAAAAACCTGCCCGTGTTCTCCAACCTGCCCTTCCGGGATCAGGTACACTATGCAGCCTGCCTGCTAGAGCTGGCTGGGCTGGGGCCAGCAGCCATGAGAGTCATCCAGATTGGGGACACTAGCACCCTTGTGCTGGTGAGGAGTGATGGTGTGCACAGCTCAGATAGTGACAGCTGGAGACTTCTCTGATTGAGTTGGTGATAATCAGGGGTAACAGTATTAGTGCACATCTAGGGGACAATGATGGCCAAGGGTACACAGAGGCCCAGGATTTGAAGGCAGTGCCTGCAGCTCCCAGGGTCTTCTTTCCTCCAGGATAGACTGCTGGGCCCACAGACTTTCTGTATGGCACAGAGCACTATGCATGTCCTGAACACCATGAGTGGCCAACTCTAGGCCCTCTTAGAGCATGAGTTCCCGTGATGTCAGGGCTTGAGCGTAAACACAACCTCTCCACATCTGGTATGGCCTCTGGGCTTTGGATGGGCAAGCAGAGCTCGATGAACCTGGAAGAGGCACAGAGGGCTAAGCCTTCAACCAGTCTGTGTTTGGAAGAAGCAACTCAGAAGATTCAGGCTGAGTCTTTGAGCACACTCAGCTTGGTCACTCTTAGGCATGTCCCTGAGACTGCCTGGCATCCCATGGTCCTAGGCTATTCCAAATGTCCCAGCTCTGGATGAAACCCATAGTGTCTCAGAGACTAAGCAGCTAGGCCAGATAATGCCAAATGCCAGAGCCAAATGCTAGACAGAGGTCAGGAGAGCATTCTGAGCAACTAGGACCAGCCCTTCTGTTCCTGGAGAAGGTGGCAGAGGCTCCAGGCTGGCTGGAGGAGCTGTGTGTGCACTGCAACATTCACACCCTCTCTGAGCACAGGTGATCCTGCTGGAAGAAGCATGGAGTGAACTCTTCCTCCTTGGAGCCATACAGTGGTCTCTGCCCCTGGAGAGCTGTCCACTGCTGGCCCCACCAGAGGCTTCTGCCACCAGCAGCTCTCAGGGCCGGTTTGCACTGGCCAGCATGGAGACACGCTTCCTGCAGGAAACCATCTCCCGGTTCCGGGCATTGGTGGTGGACCCCACGGAGTTTGCTTGTATGAAGGCCCTGGTCCTCTTCAAACCAGGTACTAAGTCTTGGCCTAAACCTTCCAGAGAAATGGTTGGGATGGAGACTAGGAATTCCAGGGACTTCTTTCTGCCTTTCACCATCCCTCTACAACCCAACGTGTGCACAGATGTGCCAGTTTCTTTAAGGGGTGGGGGTATGCAGGAGGAGAGAGGTATGACGTCCCCAGAGGCCTCCTCTCCATGACTGTGAGGAGTAGAGCAGGCTGGGGAGGTCCTGGAAGGGGAGCTCACGGTTGCCACTTCTCCCCCAGAGACACGGGGCCTAAAGGATCCTGAGCACGTGGAGGCCTTGCAGGACCAGTCCCAAGTGATGCTGAGCCAACACAGCAAGGCCCACTACCCCAGCCAGCCCGTGAGGTGACCTGAGCACATGCCTACCCACCCCCCTATCCTTCCTCTTTTTACCCTGCTCACATCTCTCACATCACCTCCGGTGTCCCCCTAATAGGACAAAGGTCTCCATCCAACCAGCATCTACCCAACATCTCCCATGGGCCAGGCACAGTGCCAGATCCTGAGAGAGGATCAAGTGTTCATAAAACAGAGCTGCTGCCTTCCAGGGGCCACCTGACACAGTGACCACACTGAAAACAGAACTTCCCTAGTCGAGTAGAGAGGGTTGTCTGTGTCTGGGACACACAGACTCTTAGGGGTGGCAGGTGGCAGGCAGAATCAGGAGAGACTTGGTGAAGGCAGGGCTGGATTTGGGAGGAAGGGTAGGGTCTAACAGAAAAGAACGCATCATTTACAAAGTTTGAGAGGCTTCTTCTTAGAAGTCCAGTTCAGAAGTTATAACAGATTCCTGCCAGCAAGAAGATAGTAGGTTAGGCCAGAAAGGGCTCCTGGGACCAGACCGGTCAGGACTTTGAATGCCCCCCCAAGGGCCACATCTGATGTGGGAGGCAGAGGGGACCCCCTACAGGTTTTTCAGAGGAAGGTGTCATATACTGGCTGAACCTCATAAAGACTGGCATGGCAGTGGGGACAGAGTGTACTCCCAGGGGGCCAGAGCAGCTACTGCCACCTTCCAGGGATTCCGTGGAGTTCTGATCTTTGAGAGTGGCCATAAATGCCATGGGAGTTGGAGTGAGTCAGATTTAGCAATTAGATGGAGGTAAGGAATGAGGGAAGAGGAACTCTTTGGGAGTGAGTATTCAAACAATAAAGAGGAAATTTGAAAGTAAAAGATGGCTTTGAGGGAAGTTACAATGTCTTCAGGGAGGCACAGTGGGCATCCTGTAGAGATGCACTGCATAAGCCAGCAGGCACTTACACACTCACGTGGAAAGTGGTTTGGAGGACAATAGCTGCAGGCTGAGTGTGGCAGGGGAGAGCGAGGTAGAAGCCAGTGCTCTGGGACCGCCCACCTTGACCCAGCACCGGGACACACACAGGAGCCGTGTCTGGACCACTCAGCCATCAGGCATCTGTGGGCTATTTTAAATCTATTATCTGCATTTTCTGGGGGCTCTTGGCTGTTGTCACTAAAGAAGTGAGCTAATATAAGCACCCTCAAATCATTTCTCATCTGAGACCTGATCATAAGAAGAGGTAATTTCCCTTTCAGAAGAGTCCAAGTAGACAAGATCTACACTGAGTTGCCCAGGAAGATTAAGGTAGAACAATTCATCACTAGTACCTTGAGACCTGACAGTCAGAGACATTCAGCAGCTGAGCCTTCAAGGTCAAGTTTCTGTTGAGACCAGCTCCCAGAGATGTCCTGCCTAGCCTGTTGATTTTGTGACAAATTTTGAAGTGCTGGTTAAGATTTCCTGTTACTTCCAATTACAGTTCATTACCTACTATAGGCAGAACTGAGTGTTAAGATAGTAGTTGGATTCTCTAAGTCAGCTCATTTCAGTTTTAAAAAATTCAGGATTAAAGAAGAAATGCATTTTTTTGTTATAACCTAATATACATATAGACTCTGAAACACAATTCTATCAAGTGATACCTACCTTACTTTGTACAATTTACTCTGGTTCTATTTTATTTTAATAAAAGGTGGGTTGTGTCCCTTTAAATTTAATTTCAGACCCATTAAGTGGATGGATACCTGTGGTTTGAAAACAGTTATATAATTATGATACAGTTACTTCTTCCTACTCTTTGGATCAGAAAGACATAAGGGGGAGGCAGATAGGAGGGATATCATTGCTCATTGTCACTCACCTGAGATCACAAAAGAAAGAAAGCCCCTGGTAGGCAAGGTGAGCTCAGGGGTTCATGGGTAGTGGAGGGTCTTCCTATGGAGATGCAGGCGGGTGCTGAACCAGCAGTTGTCCCTCGTGGAGCTTTCTCCTGGACACTGGGCATTGGCCCAGGGAAGGTCTGATTCCACCATCTGTCTCTTTTTTTGCCTTAGGGGCACCTGCTTTGGGAAATGGCTCTGATTTAAGAGGGCAGTAAGTTTTTTCTGGACCAAGGATCTCAGTCAACCAAATTCTCCCTGGACTTCATTTCCAGTAATGGCTACTATTATCCTATGCATTTTTATGGACAGGAAATTATATTCTTATATACAAAACTGATCATGTAATTATCATAATATACAGTTATACTCATAATACTATATTCATATACAGAGTTAATATAAATGACTTTTTGCTTTATAATCTTTACACATGATATACAATACTCACTCACTGTTTTCATCCCACTTCTGGGGCTCCAGGTAGGTGGAGACAAGCCCTGTAGTGAATGGGGCCTTTCTGGGAGGTCCTCTCCAACTTCCTTCCCTGTCTTTCCTGGGAGGGTGCTGCCCTAAGGATTAGTGCTCAGAAGCTGGGGATAAAACTGATGGTCCCTCTCTCCTGTTCAGGTTTGGGAAACTGCTCCTACTCCTCCCGTCTTTGAGGTTCATCACCTCTGAACGCATTGAGCTCCTCTTCTTCCGCAAGACCGTAGGGAATACGCCAATGGAGAAGCTCCTTTGTGATATGTTCAAAAACTAGTGGGAGTAGAAATAAATGTTCACAACCACTCTGGGCAACAATCTGCTGAAGCTAAACATTTGCCTGCCCCTTGACTCAGCAATTACACTAATAGGTATGTGTTCCCAGCAGAATGTCCCCTAAAAGATATGAATATTCATAGTAGCTTCATTCATGATAGCCCCAAACTCCACAATGACAGTAGAATGGATTAATATATTGTGGTGTATTCACATACTGACACTAGCAATAAAAAAGAATGAACTACAGATAATCTGTGACAACATGGATAAATGTCATAGGCAGGCATGAAAGTTGAAGAAAAGAGTTCCTTTTACACAAAGTTGAAGACTGCAAGACTGATAGTGGTAGAAGCTGGAATAGTAGTGGCCTATGGGTGGGTGGGTGTTGATGAGGGAGGGGCCCCAGGGAGCCTTCTGGTGTCCTAGAAATGCCCTTCATTTTGATCCGGGTGGGAAATTCATAGAGGGATTCATACCTAAAAATTCCTTGAGCTGTGCACTTAAGACTTGTGCACTTCTCTGCACTTCTTTTGACTTCAATAAAAATGTGAAAGAAAGAAAGAAGGAAGGAAGGAAGGAAGGAAAGAAAGAAAGAAAGAAAGAAAGAAAGAAAGAAAGAAAGAAAGAAAGAAAGAAAGAAAAGACAGCAGGTCATGGTGGCTCACATTTGTAATCCCAGTGACTCAGGAAGCTGAGGAAGGAGGATCCTAAGTTCAAGACCAGCTACAGCAAACTTAGCTCAGTGGTAGAGCGCTCCTGGGTTCTAAAAAAGTACTAAAAAAAAAAAGTTTAAAAACAAACAAACAAATAAACAGGAAGATGAATGTGGTCAAGCCTGTCCCTTCAAAGACAATGAAGGAATGAGTTCATCTAAGTCAGAGTCCAGGTGCAGTGAATTCAAGCTCAGTGGGAAAATCTCCCACAGGATTCAACAACCAGCATGGCACCTCACCTTTCCCAGCACCTCTCCATCTTTATCTCACTTACCTTTCTTCATCCCCTTCAGAAATAAAGGTGAACATTGTCCAACTCAGTTCAAGGCAGTTACAGGCACTTTTTTATAAAAAAGGCTATTACTTCTTAATTCCTCTTGGAAAGATGAAGCTCAGAAAAAAACCTCATCCTTCAGGAGACCTAGAAAATAACTTAAAAAGTCAAAACATGTTTTTTATATTTATATATCAGCAAACATATGTTAAATATACAGCAGGTAGTGAGCCAGGCACTTAATAGGCATTCTTATTTAATCTCAAATTAACTCTAGGGGAGGGACTGATTACTGCCATTTATAATAAAAAACAGAGACTTAGGACTGACACCTAGGTGTGTCTCGACTTAATGCTGCTTAACTGACACTACCTGCTCCCTTTTCCCCCTCTACTCTGGAAATGGTTGAATAATTCCATTGCATTTTCTTCCTTCAGAGAAGAAATATATGAGTCAAGAAGGAAAGAGTCATGTGAGAAATCCTAGGGGTCCCCTGCCCTTTGGCCTTTGTTTGAATTCTGCCAGCTGCAGTGATAATCACGTCTACTCTGCAAATGGCAAGCTAGGCTGGGCCCAGAGAGTACAGTGAACTCTCAACAAAGCATGCAACCTGCTTGAGATTCTCTATCTTCTAAAAACATCAGACTGTCCTTGGTTACTTGGGTCATCCAAGGTTTATAATCCAATAGTCTACTATCTATAATTCCCCATCAAACTTTTACCCCAGGGGGGTGCAGTGGCCTCATAAATTGATTATTTTAGGTATTTTGTCACATGCTAGAAAGCTAACATATCATATTTCTCAGAATACCCTTCCCCTTTGATTTGCTAATGGATGGCTCTCATAGGAGCTTTGGAAAACAAAAGAGAAGTTGATTTTACTCTGGAGAGTTTGCAACCAGCTTTGTGAGGCCCTGGGAGATTTCACCTCAGCCTCCTTGCTAGCTCTTCTTTAGAGCTGTAGTAGCTTCCAGGTGAGCACTTGAGAACTTCACAACTTTCAGCTGGCTCCAGCGTTGGCTTTCTTGACCTTCCTGGGAACTTTTCTGACTGCTGTTCTTCCAGTGTTTATGTCAGCTCCTAATTTCTATATCAATCCTTCTCACCTGGAGTATACTGAGTGACTTTTTTTTTTCCTGACTAATATGGTACAGTTGATTTCAGAATTGATTCAACTCTGTGATAAATGGGCTCTACTGAAATTCTGATGGGTAATGGCTCTTTTATTGCATTTTAGGCCCTTGCTAGGAGAGGGGATAATTGGAAGGTTCTTCTTTCTTGTCCTTAATGCCAGAAATGCCTCTGGTTGGGAAGCACCACAGAAGTCATCCTCATGGGCCTATACAGCCCTTTCTTTTCAACTGAAACTGCAGTTTCAGACTTACGGGTGGGTGCAGTGGCACATGCCTGTAATACCTGCCACTCAGGAGGCTGAGACGGGAGGATCGCGAGCTCAAAGCCAGCCTCAGCAATGGTGAGGTGCTAAGCAACTCAGTGAGACCCTTTCTCTAAATAAAATACAAAATAGGGCTGGGGATGTGGCTCAGTGGTCAAATGCTCCTGAGTTCAATCCCCAGTACACCCCCCCCCTCAAAAAAAAACAAGGAAGGGCAGAGAACGACTTAAAGATATGAAGAAATGTTGAAATTGATAATTATTACCTGAGAGTCAAACCCAGGCACTGTGGATGTCTGATCTGCATTCAGTGGACATCATTATTTTTTCTCCACTTGGAATGCAAGTGCCACAGGGTATAGGAACCGTCATTGTGGTTTTGTTCTTTGTTGTAACCGAACACTGAGCACCGAGGACAATACCTACAGGTGCTCAGTGTCTGTTGAGTGCAGGGATGAATAGCCACATGGAACCTGAATTCTAGAGTTTGAGTAATGTGGCATTAAGGAAAAACTCACTACCTTTTTTTTCCCATTTCACCTTAAACCTGATTTGGCATTTGGGAACTGATACTATTCAATATCTAAGTGCCCAGGACCTTTCATTATGTGCTAGGGACCTGAGAGTCAACAAGACAGGCACACACTTGCTGACATACAGCTGCCAGCAAATACTGGCAGCTATTGAGAAGAAAAAAGAAACCTAAACCAGTTCAAGGTTCAAGAAACTTCCCAGTGCCTTTTACACTGAGAACTGAGAGTCAGTAGGACTTATCCAGGAAAGGAAATTTAACTTCCAGATAAGAGAACTGAAAGGAAAGGGAGGAACCAGGAGACGGGCAAGCGAGAAATGAACGACAGAGACCAGGCAGAGATACACAGGACCGTTTAGTTGTCAGAGTTGACAAATAAGGGCCATCTCTCCATAGACGGAGAGAGGTAAAACAGGCTTGGGGTCTGGGATTTTTATGAGGCAGGCTCAGGAATCAGAGCAGGGCAGGTCCTGATGTAGGCAGTTAAGGGTGGGCTTGGTATGAGGGAGTGGTGAGCCCTTCTCCCAGAAGAAATAGGTCACTGGAGGTGTACCCTGGCAGGGTATGTCTTCTTCTTGGACTTTCTCTCTGACTTTCTCCATCTCCTTTGTGGCTGCAATGGACTGAAAAGCTTTCCTCTGTCATGTCCTTCTATTGTAACATGTCTGCCTTGGAGCCTGATGACCACTCACTGAAACCATGAGCCAAAGTAAACCTTTCCTTCTATTTCTCAAGTATTTTGTCCCAGTGACAAAAAAAAAAAAAAAAAAAGACTAACACAATTGTGTTTGCTTTAGTTATTTGGGGTCTTCTCGACTTCCAATGAATTCTTTCTAGATCTGTGAAAAATGTTATTGGTATTTTGATAGAATTACATTGACTCTGTAGATCACTTTGAGAAGTATGGACATTTTAGTAAGATTTTTCCAATCCAGGTACATGGGAGGTCTTTCCATCTTTTAGTGTCTTCTTCAATTTCTTTCATAAGTCTTTTGTGATTTTTCATTGTACAGGTCTTCTTTTTCCCTAGATAAGCTTATTCCTAGGTTATTCATTTATTTATGGCTCTTGTGAAAGGAATTGTTTTCCTGATTTAGTTCTCAGTAAATTCATTATTGGTATATAGAAAAATCTTCTGATTTTTATATGTCAATTTTTGTATCCTTTCACTTTGTTGAATTCTTATTTCAGTTCTAATAGTCTTTGTTGGAGTTTTTAGGGTATGTATATAAAGCATCATATTATCTTCAAAAAATAATTACCTCCGTTCCTATTTGTATGCCTTTATCTTGCCTGATTGCTCTAACTAAAAAGTTCAGTATTATGTGGAATAAAAGTGGTGAGAGAAGACACCCTTTCCTTGTTTCTGATCTTAAAGGAAATGCTTTCAGTTTTATCCAATTCAGTATGATCCTGACTACAGGCTTGTCATAATACATTTACATAAAGTTGAGATATGATCCTAATTTGTTCAGGACTTTTATCATGAAAGGATGTTAAATTTTATCAAATCCCTTTCCTATATCTATTGTATCTATGATTTTTATCCTTCATTCTGTTTACATGATGTGTTATATTTATTGATTTGTGTTGGTTGAAGAATTGTCCTTGGAACGAAACCAACCTAATCATGATCTTTTGATATGTTGTTGAATTTGATTGCTAGCATTTTGTTGAGGATTTTTGCATCTATCTTCTTCAGGGATATTGCTCTATAATTTTTCTGGTTTTTTTTTTTTTTTTTTTTTTGGTCGAATCCTTGTTAGGTTTTGGTGATGAGGTGATGCTATTTGCTAATCTTATAGAATGAGTTTGGAAGGGTTCTTTATAAGCCTGGTAAGATTTACCAGTGAAGCCATCCATTCCAGTGCTTTTCTTTCTTAGGAAATGTTTTATTATTGATTCACTCTTATTGCTTGTTATTGGTTTATTTGGATTTTTTATATCTCTTGGTTGAATTTTGGTTGGCTGTATATATCCAGAAATTTGCCCCATTTCTTCACAATTTTCCAATTTGTTAGTAAGCATATACTTTTTAAAAAAAATTCTAATGGTCCCTTTTATTTTTGAGGTATTAATTGTAA